TAATAATAATAATAATAATAATAATAATAATAATAATAATAATAATAATAATAATAATAATAATAATAATAATAATAATAATAATAATAATAATAATAATAATAATAATAATAATAATAATAATAATAATAATAATAATAATAATAATAATAATAATAATAATAATAATAATAATAATAATAATAATAATAATAATAATAATAATAATAATAATAATAATAATGGTTATGATAACAACAAATATCAACAACAACAATGGACAAAAACTCGTGATACCAAAAGTTCAACACTTAATGAGGAGAGAATACTCCAGATGGTCAATAGTGCTCCATGAAAGTTTGGACAACAATAAAATATTGTCAGAGCATCTTTTCAATTATTTTTATAAATTGATCGATAAATCCAATTCTTAGCAATCAAATTTTTAAATGCATGATATTCGGCATGCATTCAACATTGAATGCATTGTTGTTTAGCATATTACAAGAGCAGCCGTTATCGACAAAGAATTTGTCCTACCAATATACAGGTTTATGGTGGAGGATGTGCATTAACATCGAGAAAACTTAACTGACTGTGACATATCTCAGATGTTTTTACCAATAGCAGCATAGGATATTCATATAAAACTTGGAAATAGAAGAGAATATGTACCGACGAAGAATTATATCATTTTTAATTACATACTTTTCTGCTGATATGAGGCTAGAACGTATGTATGAACAAGATGCAAAAAATATACAAAGTAAGAAGATTTGAAACTAAAAAATGCATGTTTTGACGGAAGACCATAAATGAGAAACTTTAAACTAGGCGTACGACAAACAACATAATTGAAAGCCTAGAAAAAACGGTATAAAAAATGAAGAGCATTGCAATAACGATCAACGGATCCAATGACGGAAAGGAATGTCTAGGATGCTACGGAAATTTACCACGACATACACATTGTGCAAACTAATATAATGGTAGAGAGAAAGGGACATGCAGGAATCTTCTTGCTTTGACATGCTAGCATTTGGTAAGGATAACGAAATGGGCTGATCACAGATCTTACAAAATGGATAGAAAACGGAGGATTAGCTGTAACATTCGTATGGTCACATTTCAAAAACATCGAAAAATATTTTCGAACAGCGGAATAATTCTGGCGTTAACTTGTAAGCCTTCGTTGCTGTTAATCTTCTCCAACTCAGGAAAAACCCATTCTAGACAAGGTTGCCTATGAAGTAAGAACTTTGGGTCTACTCATGTGGTACTGTAGGCAAATAAGGGTCATGTCGTCGATGTTCATCCAACGCTCGATCAGTGTTTGGATCATGTGGCAGTTCGCTCTTTCGACGAACTAATGACCGCCCCTGGACATGATCTACCGCCTGAAGGTACAGCGATTTTCCTTTTATGATAAGAAACCGAATAAATTTTTCAAAAGAACAAAGTCAATTTATATGTAGCAACATACGTACATATCGCGCTGCTTGCTGCTTGATTTTTGTTGGATCCACTGGTTCGATTCCCGCATTTTCATTAATCGAAAGCTGTGCTAGTGAACTACAAGTGTTTTGTAACTGTTGGCTAACTTCCGAGAACTGAAATTCATACAACTTTCATTAAGTAAACTGATATGGAACGCTAGGCATATAGAGAATCCTTTATATCAAATACTACGTACAAATGTTTCGCGATAAAATGTGACTATTTCAATGTAATAGAAGTGTGTTCATCAGACCTTAGGGTTTTGACGGGCCTTTCTTTCGATCATTTCCCATTTCGACACTTTTGCCTTCAATTTAGCACTTTCGTCTTCGCGTTCGCGATTAAAATTTTGAGAGCATTCATCAAAAAGCCTTTGATTAATTTCCATAAATAATTTGAGCGCATTATAAATAAGTCCATGAATTGTTCTGCAACAGATATACACATATAGCGGATAGGATTCTACCAAAGGCAACTAATCCACTTCCGGTCATTGCTTTGCTTGTAAATTCAAACCTGAGGAATAAAAAAATAGTGTAACCTTTTCACATGGAAAGTAACAAAACTGGCTTACTTGTTCCAATGATTTTTTGAATTTCGATAGAGCGCCGGAAACATGATGGGTAAGATCACAACAGCGTTGTCACTGATTAGTGACATGATATATTCGTTGTTCCAGTAATAAAGCGCTCTTTCAGCTACCTAAAATAAAAATTATATTCCAGATTCCTTGAAGGATCAAGAATGCACACTTTCCACAATGGATAATGAATTATTAAAGTTCGTCCTTCTTTTTTTTATTCCTATACATGCAAACTATTCCGTGATCAAGTGATCTTGTCTGCTCCGTCTCTTTGTAATAAATAAAAGTTGCATTGACCTGGAAATGTGGCGAAGAAACACATCTTGCCAGTTGCTGGAAAAGTGGTACCATTACCTTTTGAAACTCAGCTGGCTCAATGACATCCAAAATCTCTTCGAACTCATTTAAAAACATTACCTGCAAAATGAACATTAGTCATTCACCCTCATCGAAAAAAATTAGTATTTTTGTGTTCATGAAGAAAAAAAAGAAAGAAAACCTAAATCTTTCGTTATGTTTATATAGGTTCAAATTTCACATTTTATGCCATTTGTCAAATCACAAACCTCTTTTGGACTATGAACTTTAGGCCAGAATTTGAGTAGAGATAAGATGACTGGCTCAGTAAGTGTAGGATCTTTTTCCAGGAATTGAACCACACAATATGCCAATTGAGGGTGATAAACAGAGAGAGATTTCACCTAAAATAATGCGAACATAAAAACGGTGAATAATATTAGAACTAGGCTGTCTGACTTTTAAGTGATGCTAGCTATAAACAAATTCAGCAGAACTTTTGAATCAATACAGGACTATTCTTCCAAAGCCATCATTATTGATTTAAATATCAGATCAAGATAATATTTGCTACCATTATTGATTAAATACCAGATCAAGATAATATTTCTGAGGGAAAAAGAATAAATGTTTAGAGACAAATGCTTTATATGATATTATAGTGACAGCTTATTTCAATAGATAAAGCAATATTACTTTGTGGAGGGGTATAAGAACACGAAGAAGAAATGTTTTATGTTCCTCTTTCAGCGGTAATGCGAATCCATTGATAATACTGCCAAGTATTTCCAGAAGCTCAGCAATACCATTATGTCGTTCGGTTTCATATATGAACGTATAAAATATGTTATTTATATGTTTTCTCATGTAAGCTCTAAGACCCAGAAATTTGCCATAGATCCGGTGAAGTGTCGTTTTTAAAAAATCACGCTCCCTTGGATCTTCGCTGTCGGATAGTTCGATAAGCTAAAATACAATGAATGATATAGTTTATTTTAGAGAAGAATGGAGATGTATGTAAACTTTATGACATTGTTTGCAACTGAAACATTTGACAGAGTCTAGTTATTTGGCGTCCTAAACAGGAAGCAGAACTAATATAGAGAATATAGTGAAGTAATCTCTATGCTGATACTTCTTACTTTAACAATGTTTGCCTAAGCGATACAAAATTTATACCTTTAAAACGAACTTCTGGTCAACATAACGTTTCGCTATGCTTGGTTGAAAGTCTGCTGATTCCAGAAAACGCAAGAAAAATTCATACACCAACTGTAATATGAACTTCAACAAATTCCCGAACATAATTGATTATGAAGTAATTTATTCTCATCGCAAACGTGGAAGTAAAAGTCCTTTTCGCATCTCTTGAATATTTGTATAAATTACACGATACTATCCAAAAAAAACTTGAAAAACTTCCTTCACTACTTCTGGGACCTTTAAAAACTGCTTCAAACTTCTATAATAAACCTGTAGATGGGGCCAAGCAGCTTCTAATGTAGGTTCATCCTCATCTGGATCGAATTCGGCACCCGTTGGATTTGATGGTGGAGATAAAACGCGGAAAAGATTGGAACTGAGCTAAAATGTAACATTAATTAGGTAGGACGAAAATTCAGATATTTTTGAGCATCTCTTGAATTGGCATTCAATCTAAAACAGTGAAGTTTGATTTAAAGCCTATGAACCATGGGAACGTAAAATCAGCAGTAGAATCATGTATTTTACCAGGAAGAGATTTAATCTCCATACCCGAAAGAGCTTCAAAAGTTTCAACCTAAATCTTTCGATCTGTCGAAAATTTCGGCCTAAATCCATCGATTGACGGAAGGAAAGCATGGAATGCAGCTTTATGTCGGTAAGCGAAAAGCGAAAAGGATTCCCTCTACAAGTTTTCCTGGTTTATGGTTTCTAGAATATTGGCACTGGAAGAAGCGCACTGAATGAGTAAAACATATTGAATGTAAAATTTACCATGCTAATAACTTCCGGATATATCGCTTCCGTAATAACATTTTGACAACTAAGAATATAATCCGTCAGTTCGTTCAGTGTCGTTCGTTTCACCTGCATAAAAAAATCAAAAAAATTTAAAAATAATTGGAAAGTAATATACAAGAATAAAACATCCATTACAAAGATACGGACAGTTTTCGAAAGAAAAAAGCTTTTTTTTTATTTTTAAAATCCTATGACACAAAATATAAAACAGACTTCTTTATATTTCAAGTCTGATAATGGATCAACAGCAAAGTCAAAAACGACCGAACATTGGCGTAGTTTCTGGATAAACAGCTCCTCTTGTGCAGTAGGTTCGGCATCTAAAAATACATAATCCATCATCACTTATGTAGACATTTTACAATGGATTTTTTCTGGAATGCAGAGTACTTCAGACTACACCAAACTTTATCAAACAATTGACATCACTGGTGGATGAAATGTACCTTTTATATTTGGCAATTTCACAAGCTCTCGATTAGTGGATATCAAAAATAAGGAACTGCTCTGTCTTCGATCACGTCTTGCTAATGCTGGTCCGCCCACAAGTGCTTGCTGCAAATTATGCAATATCATTAAACGAAGCGCATTTGTAATGAGTAAGGTAAAAGGACGGGCAGGTAAGACTGGTATCTGAAGAGAAAGAGCGGTTCTACAAATATAAAACTCACTTCTTTTCTGTCACATCGCCACATTACAAAATGTTATTTTTCACTACATCCAATTGGGACAAATCCTTTAATTATCCTATCAATGTCTCATATTCCTAAAGAATTACCATGTTGTCTAAAATCATAGAGAAAATACATCAAGTTCTAGTAACCAACGTGACGAATACTTTTTTTAGAGATGTTGGAGGTGGAGCATCAGCGGGAACTGTTTCATCGGAAACATCCTCCGTCTTGATTTGGGGAATCGATGCTGGTGCTATTGTTGCCATACCATTTACATGGTTATTAGCACCTGTTTGCTTCTCCTCCTTTTTATTACTCTCTTCCTTACTCTCCTTCCGCACTTTCTCTTGCTTCCTCTCCTCCTTATCGTTCTGAAGAACAAATCGTAAATGTCATGAAAACCTTAAGCAAACCATTCTACATTAACCGAAGTGAAATACTGCAAAATAACCGCAAGTTGAAAAGTTCTTTATTTACATTCCAATTGAGATTGTTTACCTCGTTTATCTTAAAATACCACGACCATCCGAAGATCCGAGAAAGAAGAAAGCTTATCAGTTACTTCCGAAGATATCTTTGAACTAACCATGCTTCCCTAAAGTCCTTACAATATTTAATATCCATAATTATTGAAGAACACATACTTTGCCGTCTTTGTCCTTCTTGCGGGACTTTAGCATGCTATTGGCGAGCAGACGGCTCTCGCGAAAAGTAGAAGTAGCTCCGGCAAACAGTTTGAATCCTTTTTGAATTGTATTTCACAAACGTACAACAATAACCAATCGTCCGGCTGATTTCCCAACTATTAAACACGTAGCATATCTGTAGATCATTTAAATATCACAACGTGACATCCAGCCTTCATTGATATGCTTTGTACTACAAAGGATTGGGTCATAAAGGTAGTAATACCAATCAACTCGTTAAATCATTCACATGACTATACAGTGATAACAGGAAAGATAAGCCACAGCAGAATTCCATCAATCCCTAGTCAGAAGACCATCCTGTTTTCCCTTAATTTCCTGATCCCGTGACAATCCTATCAACTTGAAATACTCGTTACTGAAAAAAAAGAAACTGGAATTTCAATCTCGCCAGTACACTCCCGGATTTCCACCAAACTACACTATCCCAATCGCAAAATGTTCATCCGCGCAAACGTCCCTTCACACAGAACGCCAAACTCCAACACTAAAAATGCGGCCGAAACGAAATTCCACGCAAAGTGTACGTCTCGTAAGACCATTCCGCTATGAATGACAAAATTGGAGGCAGGGAAATATTATTATAAAGGAATTACAATGAGTAGTTATTAGGTAAGACTATGATGAACACTTTAACATTTCACGTTTTACACGTTACCTTATTTAAAATTAGAAATTACACCTAAAAGTCTTAACCTAAAAGTCTTAACATTGAGTAATAAACAAAACAATAAAAAAAAAGAAAAACTTTGCAAATAAGCTTTCTATCACTTAAGAAAAAATTGATTACAATAATTTAATACATATATATTGTGTCATTTTCATTATTAACAGGAAATTTTCCCACCACTAATAAATTGATAGTTTAACTTTTACCTATCTTCCACTTCCCTCTCCTTTCATTTTCCCAGGATATCCTAAGTGCTATTAACGGATTTCATTGAGAACTCTCGAATGTAGGAACGAGAAAAGATGAAACATTCATTTAGTGATATTTTCTTGATTGAAAAACAAGGAATATTTGGTAGAAATTCGATTATTTCTCGATATCAGCATCACTCATTGCATCACTCATTGGTAGCTTAATTCCTTTAAATGTTTTATAATCTTCCCGTTCTCTATCCACCGGTGCTTTTAGTCGAATCTGTAATATGAATTTGTTGCAGGAAATTTTGCGTATTCTTGATAATAGGAAATTTTGGCATCTAAATAGATGACCTAAGTGAGTGTTTAAAAGAGGCACATATTGCTAAACTTACAAACATTCCGTCGTTCTTTTCGTCTCTTACCCTTTCCTTTTTTTTTCTTCTAATGATAAGTTTAATTATCTTTTTCGAACAGGTAATAATTCTTCAGTTTATTTCAGGTCTATATTTGATACTACTAACATTTGATTTCTTTCACTTATCAGAAACTTTTCCAATCAATAGATGATAGTCAGAATATGTCAACTTACCTCAATACTACGTTTTGCTAAGCGTTTTATTGGTGTTTTCTTTGCGAATGAATCTTCCTCCATTAGGTTCACTGATGCATTTTCCATTGAAGATTGTGTCTTATCCGTCTGTTTAGCTTTTATCTTAGACGATGGATTCTCAAAAATTTTTTGGCATTATTTTTTAATTTAAGTAATAAGACATTTGCGCATTATTGTAATTTGAGTATTTGTAGAATCCTTCCAATATCTATGGTATCTTTTTTCATTCAATCTTAATCTTTACTCTTTTTTTTGATTCACCTGAAGGGTTGTATAATCTGTTTTCGTTGTTTCCTTCCTGGAGCACTGAGATAACATAATGACGGATATATTGAATATAACCAAATTTAAAATTATCCTATAAAGTAATGTGAGATTTTCTTCTTGGATTCCTTAATATTATCAAATTGGAAGGACAAAGATTATCAATTCCACTAATCAATTCGGATGATAAGAAATGCGCCCAAGCATTAATCAAATAATAACCTAGCTAATGTGATAACATCAATCCATATAAAAAATCTTTCCGCAGATAATGAATCGTTTTCATTCATAATATGCAAGCAATATGTGCCAATAAAATTGCGCTTACAACCGATCTTGCTGGTTAACCACTCTTTAATTTCAAAATATGAAAACAATAATTGCTTCTTTTACATCTCTCATTTATATTTTTGTCTTCAAGTCATCAAATAACAGCCACAATTTTATTAAGATTATTAAGAAAATTAATGCAAAAAGAATAAAGCGCAAAAAAAACGAAACAATTAGTATGGAATAGACGACTTTTTCTTGAGATAATCAGTAAAAATTACAGTATTCCTATATTGATTAGGCTTTTGATAAGATCACCAATCTTTTTTAGGAATATTTGGCTCAATCTAGTGTACTAACATTTGGTCCAATGTGGATACTATGATGATTGGATAGATTGTGATGAATCAGAAGTAGTGATTCTGGGAAGTTGTTTTTGCAATATAAAATTGAGCAGCTCTCTGGTTGTTATCGAATTTTTATCAGCCAAACTAGTAATCAGAGTAAAATGATCTTCATCCGGAATAATCTGAAAAATTGAATATTTGCTTTATTTAGGTGAAGTAAAATTGTGAAAAATGTGGTTTTGTTATTAGAAAATAATTATTGAAGATAAGCGATAAGTACATTTAATTATTTGATATGTTTCGAATCTTTCCGGAAACAATTTATCCTTTTCAAACAGCAACAACAATACCTTGTAACAATCGGATATATTCATTGTATCATGTTTTCTCACATAATTCTTTACGATATGATGGCTTTGCTCTTTGAACTTTGGTGATTCCATAGCACCAACAATAACTAACAATTCCGCTGTGATTTCATCCAAGCTTACAATACTGAGAGTTTCAGCTTCAGCTAAGCTTAAACTAAAATTTAATGTTGATAAGTATACTTACTTTGAATAAAAAAGGATTAGACTAAATTGTCATTATTGTATCACTGAATGTAATTACATTTATTAGATCTCTAATGCTTAAAAGTTTAGAAATTGTCTACAACATATATCTCATATTTTTATGAAATTAAAAGATAATGAGTATTAGAATCAAAAAAAAATTTTTTCATATCCCATTTTGTGATGGGAAAAAAAAGTAATTTTTTTTTTTTTTGGATTTCAATTGAGATGCGTGACCAATTACCACCAATTCTTTCTCGTAAAATTAATTAACTATCGTTGCAAACTATGCACAAGCCTTACTTAATTGCTCTTCCGATATATGTACCCAATAGAGGATGAAGATCGTAGATGCCAGAGAAGAGTATAACTTTCTCATATCGATGCGCATAATTACTGCGTTTTAATGCTTTAATTAGTAAAATTGAAGAATTTAGAAGAATGAATGAAATTAGATAGATAACACATCTACGCTACCGTATCCTATCAACAACTATATCATTGTTTGTGTGAATTGATTGGAATGAACGGTAAATATTAACGGTAACTTTTATACGCATAAGCGCAAATTAAAGAAAGATAAATGGATGAGATATTTTGCTTTAAGCATATAAAAATTTTCATTTTTCCATGTTTTATCTAAAAAATGATAGTAGAAATTACAGATGAGAGAAGTAATTTTAAAAAGAAATGAATAACTTACCTGAGATGGCTAAATGCGCTCCAGCACTATGTCCACCGACTAATAGTCTTTTCTGTGGCCAACGTTTTGCTAAAAACTGTACAAAAAAGTAATGCTGTAAATGAAACCAAAGGATTTATTCACATATTTCAAGTATAATTAATAATTGTTTACTAATTAATTATTTTGCAAATCCTTCATCATATCGTTTAGCAAAAAAAGAGGGGTCAAATCTGGTAGAAATCGATTTGCACTTCCTTGCGCTTCATCTTATTTACTCTACTAATTGTCATGATTACAAATTTTCGGTTTTCAGCTATAAATCTCATTAATTTGTACGATTCCATTCACTGGTTTGCTATTTTCTGGTAATTTTCGACCAGTAATCACTGATGATTTTTGGTCATTCTACCAGAAAAGGTAACATTAAGGTAAAGTACAAAGTACGAATTCAAAAGATATGAATTCATAACAGTAGTAAATACATATATTTCATATATATTTCATGTACTGAATTTAAATTTCATCTTTCATTGAAAATCAAAGATTATAGATATCCGTAAATAATATTATTCATAGAACTTAATAATTTGATATGTTTAATTTCCATGTGCTTAATTGACATTTTTAAAACGAGCACAAATCATACTTACATGAAGCGCTTTTGTCGCTTGTTCTATTACATCATTTAAACAAATTGTAGTAGCAAAATCATATCCAACACAAGCCACTACAACATTTTCATCAACAAGCGCCTTTACTGGACTTGTAAATAATTTCCGATCGCCATCCTAAAAAAAATGACCAATCCTTTCAATTATCTCTTCAAGAAGTGTAAATATTTCAAATAGAATCTATCAAAAATTCTTCCTAATTTATGCTTTTTTCTTTTCTTGTATATTTCAAAATTATAAGCTAAAATTTGAAAGATTAAATGACCTGCCAATAACCTCCATGAAAGAGTGCAATTGCTGTAGCACTCTCGAATTCATTACCCCAAATATCAATTATTTGTTTGCCATCTGGAAATATGTAACACTATCAGTGTGCGGGATTTTTTTTTTTCGAAAAAAAACAATTTCAGAAAAGTTTCATTAGTTTAGGAAGCCATAAAAATATTAATTAATTGGCATACTGAATAAATAAGTTTCTGATAAATAAATAGAGTAAGGGAAAAATTATGAATTTGAATATATAATTAGCTTGAACCTCCATATGGAATAATTTGTAGCGATGATATTGCTTGCAAATTATCACGATAGCAAGACTGCATGCTGGTGATAAATGTTTCGATGACCTGAGAAAGAAGAAAATATGACAAAAAAAAAAAACAATTCTATGTGGCTGATATTTGAAATGGAAAAATTTTGAAAGTAACCAAATCTGGTGGTTTTGAGGATATAGACCAATGACTTGGCGAATATAAACATTCTTCTTCTGTGCATTGAATACCATGACAACATGACATGACCGTTGGAAGACTATGTGTTCATGTGAAACTAGTTCTGTCAACGTATATCATTCAACCCTTTTCTTTTGTTCTATTGAAAAAGAAAAAGTTAAAAAGATTTAAATCGTCTTCTCAATTCTCATCAATTCCAACATTACATTTCTTATACCTGAAGATTTAAAAAAATGTTAAAAAAATTAAGTAAATTTAACCAATAGATTTAGGCTTATAATGTAAATCTTTTCTACATTAATTTTTTTCGCAGCAAATATTCATAAAATATTTCTAATTCTTCAACTTCCAAATTTATCATTTATCACGTATCACGTATCACGTGTCATGTATTATATATCAACACCATCATGTTTGAATAATTTCGAAAGTTTTATAACAAAGATTTAAATAGATTTGTAATGGAAGGTTTTTTCTTTTTTTTTTGTAATTAAAGGTTGATCAATTATGATTACAATAGTAGCAAACATAGAATCATACCTAAATGCAAAAATTGAAATTTGAATGAAAATGAAAGAAGAATGATTTGTTAAATGCAAAATTATTTTTAATATAAAACTAAAAGTGTTATTGTCATTTCCAAATAGCAATAGCAAAAAGAGAAATTGGACAATAGCGCCTTGCTGATGTTTTATGTGAACAAATCAGATAACTTTTGGTTAAAATAATTGTAAAAATTATTTAGTGTAATGAAAGCTATAAAAAAAAAAAAGTTGTATTCTTTTCAAAAATCGACTCTTTAAATTTATCAAAATTTTCAAAGTTTTTTGTTTTCCAAAGAGAAAGGGATGATACATGGAAGATAAGAATAATTAAGCTAATTACTACAGTTATCATTCAGTTCTCTAAAAACAGAATAAAAAATGACATATGAAAGATAGGAATAATTAAACTAATTACTGCAGTTATCATTTGAATGCACCAAAAGAAAATAATGCACTAATTATACGGATTTCACGTAATGTTGACGTTACGTAATCCATCATCATGCGCTCACTATGCGTCATTTACGCTTCAGGAAACGGAATGATATTACTTCATTATTTGGCAGCAATAAACTTGTAATTGTGTAGATGACACTTTTACTGAATATTTGATCTTGAAATGATAATTTGAAGTGATAATTTTAAATAGTAAACATTGCTAACATTTTTAATGTAAGAAGTTTTAAAAAGTTTTCTTTTTGGCAAATATTTCTTAGTCTTCAATTAATTTAATGCTGGTTAATTATCGGCGTATTTAAATATATAATTTTTAAATTTATCAAAATTCAAAAATCACGTATTGAAAAAATGAATTTACATTTTATATGAAATCAGTAAAATGAATTTCAAATTTTTAAATTGTAATCAAGCAATATCGAAATATGAAAATTTTAGCATAACAAATTTAGAAATAAAGATATAATCTATCCATCATACAGTAAAATTATTAATCTATCAAAAATATAGTTTGGAAATTGATAGTAACGAACAATAAATAATGAGTAATAGTTATTAATTATCGGATGACGAATTAATTAATTAATGTTTGATGCTTTGATGATTAGCATTTGTGAATATGTATTAGCCTTTGAATAGTAACTAGTATTATATGAGAGGATTGTGAATACAAAAATCACATAAAAAGTACAACAAATTATTTAGGCTATGAATAAAACACTTTGCAATTAAGAATTTACATTTCAATAATTACGACAAATACCGCTTCTTACGACAAATACCGCTTCAGGAAGAAAATAATAATGATATTCAAATTTTAAACTTTTCATTAAATAACCATCAAAATGATCAGTCGTTCCATATTTATATAATATTATAATTTTGATGTGATCTCTTATTGTAATTATTAGTTAAAAGCTCAATGACAGATCAACGTGACAAATATCTATCAAAAAGCGCCATTGTCAATCTTATTGCGCATTGCTCATTCTATTGCTTATTTTTGGGATGATAGAAGACGAATGATCATTGGAGGTTATTTATATTTCAAATTAGGTCGATAAGATTTGATAATGTTTGATTATAATTTAGTAAATATAATTAGGATGGAAACAATAAAGTTTGCATTTATTTCTTTTAGAATTTCATTTAATTAAAATAAAAAATTCATACATTGCTATAATAATGTCTAAATTTTCAACGAATTAAAATCATAATGCTTTATTTTCAAACAATCATTTTGAATATTCTAAGAAAAGTAATTGCGAAAGAATTTTTATTTTGTGATAGAATTTGAAAAAAATTTAATTTGAAATAAATTCATCAAATTAGGGGAAAAAAAACGGAACCAATATTTTTACATTATTTCTTTGTTGATAAGAAAAATCGAGTTTATCTTATCAGTTAAATTGGTATTTGAATTTTGGTACAATTTGAAATTCAATTTTATCAGTATCATTTGCCTACTTGATTATTTACTTGCTTATTTATTTACTGTCTAATAAAATTGTTAGAATACTTTGTTTTACAATAGACAAATAATTCAAGATCATACCAATCGAAAGATTTTTAATGCTAATTTCCTAGTGTTAATTAAAACATTTTGGAAAATTGAAGAAAATGAAGCAAGCTGACAATACCGCCACATTAGCGTCATATAAATCACCATCAGAAATGGTAAGCTTTTTTTTTTTTTTTTTTTTGCTTACATCATTATAAGAAAAAATTAAACTTTTCTTTTCAAACTATTCTTTCATACTTTTAAAATCTAAAAATTATAATTGTTATGAGTGAATTAAGATTACAATTATGGTTAATTAAATTACAATTGACAAACTATGATTGCCATGTGATTTACCACTAGACTCGTAATTTAAAGTTAGATTACAAAATTATTTTCAGGGAATGAAGAGACAAAGTGAGCGAACAACAGGGACAGTCCTATCAGAGGTGACACTAAATATTGGGAGTGCACAGGTAAATGGAATTACAGTTCATTTTTGTTATCTTTGTGGAAAGAGACCTCACTAATTATCTGATTACAATGTAAGGGTCCTTCTGATTGTTGGAAATGATCAGTTCTAAAAGGTTTCTTAATTTGTTCTGGCTACTTAAATGGTCAACATTATTGTCGTGGCTATTCTATTCTAAACGTCTATATTTTTATCTTAAATTACTATATTAGCCGCTTTGAATGATAATTTAGATTGGTCACTGCCTTGATTTTTTTTTTTTTTGATTATCATGAACGTACCTTAAGAAAAATTGCTTAATCTCTCAATTACGATGAATGTATTTATGCATGAAAACTTAAATGATTGTCTCAGACTGTCCAGTAATTGGTCATTCTGATTCACCTAAATACTTTCAATGATTGGTCACTTTTTGGATGGTTGCTAATGATTGTTTATGTAAATTTTGTGAAACTTTTCTGATAATTTCCAGTAAATAGTTGCAATTATGGACGTTGATGTTCCGAAATTAAATTTGTTAATTTGCATCAAATTCAATTTCCGGAAATATTCATCAGATGTTTATTTTCAGGATTATGGAAACTTCTCTGTCAGAAAAAGTAATGTTCAAGATATAGGGGATACTATGGAAAGAGGCAACGTGATTAGCAGTAGATCGGAAAAGCCAGATGAATTGGAAGTTCGAATTCATGAAGCAATCAATCGATTATTGCAGAAAATTAATTATCGCTAATTTTTAAAGTCCAATCAATATTTGCAAAACTAACAAGTTATTAGGATAAGCTTTGTTTAGAATTTAAGTGAAGTAAGGGGAAAATCGCAAGTTGAAGTACGTGAAACGCATGCGGATCGAAGTAACTCACGTAACGTTACGCCGATACAGGAAGAAAGAACGGTCCGTAATTTTTTATTATAATATCAAAGGTACTGCTTTTCCTTCATAAATAATAGAAAATTTGAAATAATGAGGAGGAATATATTGAAGAGTATGAAAGAGTATTGCCGGGATGAAAGTCGGGATTTATCGGGAGAAGCGAAGAAAGCGGTCGACGTAAATCGTTCATTGTCAAAAATAGGAAGGAAAAGAATTTTTGAAACAGATGGTAAATTTGCATAAAAAACAAAGTTTTCATAAAATGGGTAAAGTGCTTGGTAGCTATTTTTTATTTAATATCGTATTCTTATTTCAAGCAAGTACATAATTTCCGTACGGTCTATCTTCCGGAAATTACTACTTAACCTATTAAAGGATAACTTCATAATATATTATCCTATCTGAAGTTAATATAAATCTTTGAACTTTAGATAGTACAAAATATACAGTTCAAAGCGAAAAAGACTGTCAAAACTGCAAGATCACAGAATTTGAGTTAAAAATTGTTACAGCAAAGGTTATCGTTCAATTTATTTATAATATTTCTTTTTATCATTGTTATTATTATTATTATTATTATTATTATTATTATTATTATTATTATTATTATTATCATTATTGTTATTATTATTGCATTTGGTTGATTTCCGATTTCTTCCGCATTTTTTTTCCCCTAATTTCAAGAGTTTTATTTAACGCTTCTTTATTTATATGTATTATTTTTTAATTTTATCTCTCTCATTTCTCTTGATATATCATTTTGAACAAACTATTATTCTTATTATTATAATTATCAATTACTGATTGAACGATTTAGTACAAATTAGATATTGAAATTAATTAATTTTAAGTTTGCATTTATTTTCCGTTTTTCTTTTCCATCTCTTTCATTTTTTTTTATTTTAAATTCTTACTATTTCTCTACAATGTATTCTTCTTCAAC